CCCCAAAACCCCAAAACCCCAAAACCCCAAACGTTCGGAAATAATTGAACCTTTTTGGATGCCATGCTATAAATTCAATGAAGATTTTGTATAAATTAAAATGGAAGAAAGAGAATTTAGTCAAGAAATCATAGACAAATTTCCTTCTGAAGAGATTGATAGGATTACCGCTCTCATGAAGGAACAACTTGAGATCAGAGATAGGAAATATCACTTTAAAAAGTATAGCAGCTGTTTCCTTGGAAGAGATATGGTAAATTGGCTGCTAGAAAATGGCTATGCAGCCAACGTAGAAGAGGCTTTAGATGTTGGAAATTACCTTATGAGCAAGGATGTCTTTCACCATGTGTGAAGAGATCATCCTCTTAAAAATCAAAAGCTCTATTACATCTTTGAAAGTGATGAAAAGGATAGAGGACATCTCCCAGAGAGTGAAAAGCCAGCATCTTGGCAGGACGTTCTTCAAGAACAAGATGGTAAACTTTTATCAGGTGAAGAGGTCAATGATGTCCTCGCTTCTCTAAGTGATTGGCCTGACAAGAACCCTGAAATGAGTGAACTCCTTGTAGATAATCATAACAGAGAGCTCCTGGACAATTGACGTCCTCTAAATTGGCAGGATCCTGAGGCCACTCAAAAGTACGACTTGATCGCTATTGGAGGAGGAGCTGGAGGCTTAGTCTCCTCGATTGGAGCTGCTATCTCTGGAGGTAGAGCTGCTCTCATTGAAAGGAACATCATGGGAGGAGACTGTCTCAACACAGGCTGTGTTCCTTCTAAAGCATTCATTAAAGCAGCAAAGGTTGCCCAAACTGTTAGGAACTCAGAAAAGTACGGAATCATGTTTGAAGGAGAATTGAAAGTTGACTTTGGAAAAGTTATGGAAAGAATGAGAAAAGTCAGAGCAGAAATCTCAGAACATGACAGTGTCTACAAGTTCATCAAGAAATATGGAATAGATATGTATCTTGGCGATGCTAAATTTATCAATAAGAACGAGATCGAAGTTAATGGGCAGACACTGCAAATTGCTAAGTGCAGTATTGCTACTGGAGGCCACCCATATGTCCCTGAGATTGCAGGTCTTTCAGATTTTCCTTATCTAACGAGTGAGAATGTATTCAATATCACAGAGCAACCAAGACACTTGGTTATCATTGGTGTAGGACCTATTGGTTGTGAACTTGGACAATCATTTGCTAGATTTGGAACCAAAGTCACGATGATCTCTAGAGGAAATCAATTTTTGCCTAAAGAGGATCCAGATGCAGCTTCATATCTTCACCAAAGTTTAAAAGATGATGGTGTCACAATACTTTTCAATGCTGAACCTACCAAAGTAGATGTCTTAAATTCTACAGGCAAGGTCTGGACTCCTGAAGCAAGATTCGAAATGGAAGTACTTGTGAACGGTATCCCAGAAACAATTCAAGGAGATTCTATCCTCATCGCTGCTGGAAGAAGACCGAACGTTCATGGATTAGGCTTAGAAGAAGCTGGAGTAGATTATGATGAGATTAAAGGAATTCATGTCAATGACTATTGCAAAACAACCAATAAGAATGTGTACGCAGTGGGAGATGTCTGTAGTCCTTACCAATTCACTCATAACTCAGATCATATGGCTAGGAATGTAGTGAGAAATGCTCTGTTTTTTGGTAAAGAGAAAACTTCCAATCTGATAATGTCTTGGTGTACTTACACAGATCCAGAAATAGCCCATGTAGGAAAATATCCACATGAAATGGAAGAGAAAGGCATCAAATACGATACATACAAATATGATATAGCACACAATGATAGAGCTATCTGAGATGGAGAAATAGGTATAATTAAGATCCATTGTAAGAAAGATACAGACACAATCTTGGGAGCCACTATTGTTGGAGGACCTGCTGGAGATATGATCTGTCAAGTATCTCAAGCAATGTTTAATAAGGTCGGTCTTTCCACTATGGGGACTGTTGTTCACCCATATCCAACCTATGCTGAAGCTTTTAAAGCTCTGACTGGACAATACAATCTTAAGAAGCTTACACCAAAGTCTAAAACAGCCTTAAGGACCATTCTTAATGTCAAAAGATAACTTAAGATATTTTGAGCATTCTATTACTATTGATCAGAAAGGGGTTTTGGGGTTTTGGGGTTTTGGGGTTTTGGGG